AAAAATGGGGAATTTCCCCTGTGATATATGAGAACAGCATAGGCATTCTGCTCAACAATAATCTGTAGTAATATTTACACTTTCTAAAAACTCTGTTCAGAAAGAACAATTAACTAGTGAACATTTCCTATGTTTTATAACTCTAGAGAGAGAAAAAGCAGCCTTTTTATTATTCCTTTTCAAAAATGGACTGTCATTTTCTGTTCTTCATAGTACTGTACTTAAAATAATCCTTGCTATCCAACAGAAGAGATATTTAAATGCCTTATAACCAACTGAATAGAATATGAGCAATTCATATGTATTTTGGTATATATGCACATATATACATAGACATTATTTATGCAATGAATATAAGATTTAAATGACCATTTTTACTTAATCACAAATTGGAAACTTTAGAAAGCTAGTCTTTCCCTTTAAAATCACAAGTTCGAAATTATATATAAATGGGAAAAAAAGACCATTAATAATGAATTATTTTTATTCATCTGACTTCATAAATTTTTTATATGTAAAAGGTACATATCATTGATGTTAAGACAGACACTGGAAAATTACTGCTTATGCAGATATCATTGATGTCAAGATAGTAATTATTTTAGCAGAATCGAATTTCTTCCTAAGGGGGATTTCCTAAATAATGGTCAGCTGCTACCTCTCATCATTAGAATAGTATAAAATAATTTCATAGCTCAGACTCTAGATAATATTGCTTTCTGGGGAGTAAGTTTCCAAATCTCTGGATCTCTATAAGTTATGCCTTAAGAATAATTAGCTCTCCTGGAACACAATGACCTAACAGACTGAAGGAAACCAAAAGTAATTATAAATACGAGTTTATTATATTAAAATACACTGAAACTGTTATCTTTCTGAAAGATATGACAAGAAGATTCTATGGACACTGTATTTATTTTCTTTTAAATTTTTTTATTAAGTTTATCAGGATAATATTGGTTAATACAATTATATAATTTTCAGGTGTACATTATAATTTGACATCTACATATTCTATTGTGTCATTACCACCCAAAGTCAAGTTTCCTTCAGCTACCATATATTTGATCCCCTTTATCCACTTCACCCTCCCTCTACCCCCCCTATATTTGATTCCCTTTACCCCATCTACTTTTCTGTCCATGAGTTTTCTCTTTCCCAGATTCTTTAATTTTTTTCTTTCTCTTCCCCTTTGTCTGCTATTTTAATACCTTCCATATGGAAAATTCTTGGGCTTTTATTATTTTCCCTGTTGTATCCCCTCGACTCATTACCATCTCCTACTTCCTCCCCTCTAACACCTGAAAACATGGACAGACTACTATTTATTTGTATAACTCTACATTCATGATGACCATGAGATCATTTAAACACACTTTGAAGATGCTGAGCAAGGAATATTTTATTGTATCCCTCTTTTAGGATATGGGTTTTCAAGTCTTTAGGGTAAATACCTAGTAGAGGGATTGCTGGATCATATGCTAGATCAATTCTTAGTTTTATGAGGAACCTCCACACTGTTTTCCATAGTGTCTGTACCAATTTGCAGTCCCACAAGCAGTGTATGAGGGTTCCTTTTTCTCCACATCCTCTCCAACAATTGTTATTACTTGTCCTGTTGATTATAGATATTCTAACAGGTGTGAGATGGTATCTCATTGTAGTTTTGATTTGTATTTCCCTAATAGCTAACAATGTTGAGCATCTTTTCATATATTTGTTGGCCATTTGTATGTCCTCTAGGGAGAAGTGTCTGTTCAAGACCTCTGCCCATTTTTGATTGGATCATTTGGTTTTTTTTGTTGTTATTGAGTTGTATGAGTTCTTTGTATATTTTGGATATTACACTCTTATCGAAGGCATCACTTGCAAATATAGTTTCCCATTTGGATGGTTGCTATACACACTTTAAATAGAGCCTCTAACAAAAGGTCTGGAGAATCAGAGCCTTATTAGATTTAAATCTCCCACTGCCCTTCCTGGAACCATATTGACTAGCTGCTCAGGCACCTAGGGTTGCTGTTCATTTTCGTTTTATGAAAAAACATATTTGAATCATCTTCAGGCAGGTTAACTAAGTGATTTATTGCTCAAAATGGAACAAGAAGCATAAACTATATCTGTCCTGCTGACCACTCTATCTATACAGGAGAGCATAGCTGGTGCCTCCCTTGCTTCAGATTATTAATATGAATCAGGTAAAAATGGAGAGAGGGGCAGAGTGCATAGAGAACAGCAAGGTCAGACTGGAAAGGGAAAAGAAAACAAAGAGCACAAGATCACTTGATGGTTATGTGAGGAAGAAGGAGCTGTTTTATTTACTGACTTGGTGACAACAAGGAATTTAAATAGATTTTATCTGAACCTCAAGTTGTTGGTTTAATGTCAGTGGATAGCCTCTCCACACTACCCAGGCACTGAATGTGTGTGTGTGTGTGTGTGTGTGTGTGTGATCTACATAGATATCTTAGACAGATAACAAATATGTAATAGTTGTCCAAAACTAATATATCACCATAATCTGCATTTTTCATACCTGATTTAAATAATTTTGAAATCGTAAGTAATTGGCTACAAGATTATACATATATGCAAATTTATGTATATGTTTATATATTGTGTGTATATGTATGTGATTTTCTATAAATACACATATGAATATATCCATTGCTAACTCTTAGATTTTCATAATCATTTAAGTCAACCTGAGGAAAATCTACCGTGATGTTGTATTCAGATATGGTTACCTGTTAAAATTTACTTACTAATACTTCTTACTGTTATTTTCTCAATATTAAGAGGTCATCATATTCAAGCATCACTTTCAACTGCAGGGAAGAAAGTACATGTTGAACATCCACATTGATTATAAGTACTATCTCAATTTCAGAAATATTAAAATGTGAGAAATATGACGACATTCAAAAAGTATAAACACAGGGTTAGGTGTTCTAAACTAATATCCAAAAATAAGAAACTCTCTAAAGAAAATATGTGGGATATTTTAATAAATAATGAGAGCTAACAACTGATATGGTTCAAATCAGGACATACATTCTGCGTATCAGCAGCCTCTAGATATTAAATCAAGCAGGAAATTGTGTGTGTGTGTGTGTGTGTGTATACATACACATAGAATAAATGTATCGTGGTTTATTATTTTTTATGTTTCATCAACATAGAAATTATAAATTACTAATAGAGTTAATCCCAAGTAAGCCAGGAATGATGTAGCACATATGACACATAAGTTTCCATGACAAATAAGAAACAAATATATAAAATCCCACCAATATATGACCAATACATATTACAGCGCATTGATTACCCAGAAGCTAAGTAAAACTCATGTACTCAAAACAGTTCTATTTCATTCTCTCCTGTAACTCAAATTTATTTGTGCTGCACAATTACTTTTGCATAATATTATATTTTAGCTATGTGTGCTATTTCATCTGTAACAACAAGAATTCTTACTTATTTGAAATGAGCATCTGTGGAAGTATCATATTATTTTCTTTATGATCTTTCAATCACCTTGACTATATTTTTTGAAGTGTATGACTTTTATGCATGTATCAGATAACTGTATGCTTCAAATTAAAAAAAAGAAATCCACATAAAAGATAGAGTTACTCAGGAATTTAATTGAACAAACTGTATTATATTTATCTCCAAGGACTAAACCCTACATATTCAATACATTGAAATGTTCATATTAAAAACAAATAATAATCTCAAAGCAGTGAATACTATTATTTAAGAGAAAAAGAAGAATTTGCTCAACCCATTTTTATTAAAGAAGTAAAAATGGGTGGAAGGGTTGAGATGGAAAGAGAAGAGGCAAAGAGGATTCTAATGCATGGAGAAAAGAACAAAGCAAAGAATGAGCTCATAAAAATAAAACCTAGACCTTCTGGTCTTCTTAGCTTTGGGCTCTAATCTCAGCTGAAATCAGAAAGGAAGTTAGTCTGAAGTGCTCAAACAGAAATATATTCTATCCGTTCATGAAATAAGAATGGCAGAAGTTTTTGTACAAAGCAATTCACAACATGAATTAGTAATTAGTATATTAAATAGAGATTACGGGTAAGGGCTTCTCAAATCTGCTTACTTTTTAGCACATTTTTATTTTATTGAAAAACATGAGAATAATCTCTAGAGTTTGACATCTGACTATATTTCAGACTACTCTTTCATCTCTAACACGTAAGTTTTCTTCTGCTCATAATAGTCATTCTTGCTTTCTCCCTTACAACTTTAGAACTTGCTTTCTTTCATTAAGCCTCATCTAGCAAGGGAATTCCTTCCTTATATAGATCACTGGTTCTTTCAAATTAACAAATTAACATCATCCATTTATGCTTTTTAGACCTGTCTGGGAGTTCTCTAAATCCTAAATTTTAGATATATGGACCAAACTACAGACATGAAGTTTCAAAGAATCCTCATGCTGAAATAAATATTGAGAAGTTATTGGGTAAGAAGAGTAGAATAACTTTCCTAGACAATTCTCTTCTGCAGTGGTTCTCAAAGTATGATGTGTGAATAAACACCAGCATCATATGTGCACTTGGAGAAATTCAAATTCCAGGTCGCATTCCTGACCAACTGAATCAGAAACTCAGGCGGGGAGGGGCATTCCAATATAATACGTAAACAAGTAATAGTTTTCTTAATTCTAAAACCACAATTTTACTCCAATGAGGAAAAGTGTTTTTCTGACTCTTCCACTAACACTTTTAGCATTTTCAGAACTACTTAGGCTATTTATCTGAAAGTTCTAGTTAAGAATTGAGCAGCTTCATTCCAGGCTTTAAAAGTGTTGCATTGTGTTGCTAGAATGTGAATGAGGGACATTAGTGGGATAACGTGGGGACATTTGAGATACAGGTGTAACCATAAAGGTTAGTCAGGTCGGCACTTCAGTCTCCAAATCTTGCCCACAAAGTTGTCTATCTATTTATAACTGATTTTTCTCATGTCATTTTTTTCCCCAGATACCTTTATCAATGAATGTGTCAACCTTTCTGGCATACGACCAGCCCACAATAAGTTACTGTGGGGTGCATCATGAACTTCTCTCTCATAAGTCCTTTGAAACGAATGCACAGGAAGATACGATGGAAACACACCTAGAGACTGAGCTGGACCTGAGCACAATCACAACAGCTGGCCGAATCAGTGATCATAAACAGCAGCTGGCTTAACTGAGCTAATCGGTAGCCAAGGGTTGCCTCCAAACTTTGTAACCTCAAGGACAAAATGAGGAAGATTTGTTCATTGTGGACTCTAAAAACAAAACAAAATAAAAAATCCCCTGTCAAAATAAACAAAAATCCAAGATTGATTCATGAAATAAAGAAGACATGAATTGTTTCAAGTCTACACTTTGTAATTAGCTAAGTTGTGCAGTATTTTTTTTTGACTTAAACAGAGTCTGACCCTGAAAAAAAAAATCTTTTTTTCCAAAACTCATCCTACCTACTTGTAAAACTGTACAGAGCTAATGTATTTTTCATATTGTAAAATCTCAATTATAGAAACAACTGGTATGTACAGTACCATAATTTAATTACATTTTACTTTACAAACTTTACATTTTTCAGTTTCTAAAATTTTAAATTAACAAAAATTATTTCTTGTGTTATTCAGAGTTACTCAGTTTTGTAGGGACTGCTTTGTTACTGCTTTTGTGCCCAGAAACCTTGACTCTAAAATTCTGTGCTGTGAGAAACATGCACGATTTTTATCATGCTTACTGCGTAGAATTTTATCTACTTGTTCCAGAAATAATACATTAACCAAAAAGGGTTTAATTGTTGAGACTTGTAAGAAGTTCTTCAATTACATAGACAGGCTTTTTTTAAAATGAAAAAAAAAAAAATCAAAGTTTTTTTTAACACTTCTTCATAGACTTAACTGTTGCCTTGAATTACAGCCTAGTTTCTAAGCAGTGAAATGTAATGATAAAGAGGGATATTTTAACAAAATATTTCCGAATGAATGACTCATTATTTCATTCTTTTGAGTAACCCATTGTTAAGGGTGGGCGGGGGGAAGCATGGACAAAACATCACTGGAAACAAAGGCCGTAACCACAGCAACAGACTTTGATACACTTAAAAGGTGCAGCTGCCAGTGACAAAAACTTGGTACATGTCATAATTTTCAGGCCAAGGTGGGAGGATAGAGCATAATTGTACAGTAGCAATTTTTCTCCTAATTAACTCAAAGTGGTTTACCTAAAAATAACTATCAGTCAGTGCAAAATGTGCCTGGATTTTAAGACAACTTCTCATTTAGAAATGCGAGGCTATATTTTGAGAGCATTTCAAATGGAATATACAAATTTTTATCTCTGTGTGCCACATCAGTTCTCTCCTCAGGAAGAAGCAGTCAATATAGAAATGAGCCCTGGTGGAGAGCTTTATCATTCAAGCAGACTGTAAACATGCTAATATGTTCCAAATTGTTTATATTGCCATCCATAAATTATCCAAAAAATAACCCAGAGTAATTTGAAACCACCCCAGGTTATATATTGATTATACAATTGCATTAAAAAGTTAATTCAAATCAAATTATGAATACCTACCTGACTTTTCAGAAGCTGAAATAATCAACTTGTTTCTTTTGTTTTCTTGACACGGGTTACTGTTTGAAAATATTACTATTTTATCTATGGCATTTGCACATTCTGCTGTGTGTTTTTTAATATAAAACTACAAGTTTCGGTTGCTGTTGAACTAGAAAAAGTCCTTTTCTATGTTGTCATTTTATATTTATGACATCAAAAAGAGGTTCAGTATAGTCAATCTAACATTATGGGTCAATCAAAAATTATGATGAAAACAAATTGTCAAAATTAGTGTTGAATGTTTAATATTTCTATTTCTTCTCAAGAAATTACATCTACAAAAAGTCCAGTTTTATCATGGCAAATTTAAGACTAGCATCAAGAAGAAGGAACTTAAAAAAAATAGAGAGAAATTTTTGTTGAGAATATAGTCAGAAAGAAAAAAAATGTTGAAAGAAGCAAACTCTTACTAATTTAAATGAAACTAAATGTCACATTATTTGTATCAACTAGCATCTCAGATTTTGTAACATATTTTGATAAATTATTTGATATTCAAAAATTTTTTGTCATTTTAAGTTTAATTTTAATCTTTATTTTTTCCAACTTCTAATTTCCTTGCAATGTATTATTGTCAGAGTATTCTTAATCTTTAAATTGAGAATCTGCCTTGCACAGTTAGCAAATATGTAGAGGATAGTTATTTATAAATTCATTTTTTGTAGATCTAAAATCAGATGCAAAAAAATTTTATTTATTGTGTAAAGCAATATATCATTTGCAATTTTTTTCATTAGAAGTTGGCCTTGCAAAGATTCAAGCAGTGTTTAATTTGCATAAATAAGCAATTTATACCTATTTCCAGACATTTTCAAATTGATAAATTATTTTTAAAATTTTTAGGTTCCAGAGTGCTTCACAGATGTATGCGCTTGATTTTCTGAAACAAACCACTTTTTTTCCTTAAACATTTTAAGTTCATCAAAACTGAACAATTATAAATAGAAGTAGTCATCTTGGAACCATAGCTCTATGCTTCCAAGGACTTATTACAGTAAGAGCCAAATAAACTAAGAGTGTTGAGATTTCTCATATTTTGAAATTAAACCCAAAGGATCTTTAACAAGAAAAAATGGAAGATTCTGGGTTATTCATTAAACTCAGTTCTGCTTAATTTTTATTCAGCCATGTACAGGAACAGGGAGTGGAAGGGGGTAAAAACCTGCTATAGGAGCTTGTGTCTGGAATCTTTATTATATATTTGCAATTTATATATTTGTGTCTAAAATCTTTATTTCTAACCTATCTTTTTCAGCATTCAGTAATCTCCCAATTCCTCTGCCTAGCCACCCTGTTCCCATGTCTCCCTTCCTGTCTATTGCTCACCTGGTGGAGAAATGTTTATATGTTTGGAGTTGAAAAATGCAGAATTTGACCCAGTATGGTTATAATAATAGCAGTTGCTGCAGCAAACAATAAAGTTATGCAGTGTTTTTGAGGTTTATAAACTACATTTCACATAAATTATCTCATTTTGTCTTCAAACAACCCTATGAAGACACATTAATCTCAAAGAAGTTGAGATACAACCAAGAACACAGGGCTAATAGTTGGTGGAGTTGAACAATTCTCAAAATTCAGAGCCTGTTAGTCTTTCCACTATACTAAAAGCCTTCTCTCTCTGATCAGAGCCAGAGAATTTCCAGGGATAGTAAACAGAATGAAAAAAAAAAGAAGTTTGCCATGTTGTTCCATAACCCCAATTTCACCCAGCTCCTCTCTCTGTATATGGGCTAAATAAATTTACTGTGAGCTACTCAGCTCTCACATTAACACTCAGTTCAAAAAGTACAGCAAGCAAGTCATAGATTTCTTAACATATCATTTTGTAAATATGCAGAACAGTCACAAGAAGTGGGTGTACATTGGTCCTAAAGTACAGACATAAAATTGAGAAGCACAAGAAAACAAACCAAAGACCGTCTAAACTGAGATCGCATGGGTCATTACAAAAAAGATCCACAGTGCGAGGTTATATATACATTCAACACATGTTCAACTGCCCACATGTTCAATTCAGAGCTAAGTTAGAAGATCTTTACAATTTTTTTCATTTTTTGTTTCAGCGAAATTAATTCTTGATCCATGAATTCTTATACCTGTCTTAATAGAGAATAATTTTCTCTATTCCCCTTCTAATAAAAATGAAATGTAATTTATGCAAACTGATGTATAGATGCTAAAACATATGCTAACAGGCAGATAATGTTTTACTAATTAGCTCATTTTTATCAAAAGTCTATCCCTACACCCTCCTGAATGTTCTAGAAAACCAGAAAACCACACAAATTTTAATATAACTTATATATTTAGAAGGAAATAAAACTTGCCCAAATTTAAGTCAAGACAAATGGCATAATCCTGATTTGAAATCAGATCAGGCTGACTCCAGAAACTACTAAGAAATAGCAAAACCTTGCTGCAAAAATAATATTTTCTAAAATAAAATCACTGTATATGAGAGTAAAGATTATATATGTATAAATATTATATATGTAATATATATTGTATATAAAAATTACATATATATTATATATAATATATAAAATTTGTTTTGGTCTGCTCCTGACTGGAAAACTGATATCATCTCTCAAAGTGAACATTCAAAATAAGAAACTGAAAGTATAATAGGCACCTGATGTGACCTATTAGTAAGCTGGAAGAAAAAATCAGATGTGCTGAGTAAATGGCAGCACATGAGGGGAAAGAAAGTGAAACTGGCAGATACTTGGTCTCAGGAAAGATGGTGGTGAGAAATCTCTAGAGTAGATGCATTATACAATGGTCTGGGTCTTAACAGTCTATCACTCTGGTATAATAAATAGTATAACAATCTGGTAACATAAAAAGGTGCCGGTCCATATAGGTTAGTTATGCAGTAAGAATCCAGATGAGTTGGTCTTGCAGTAAGAGCTTCCAACTACTTCTATTATCTTCTCAACTCACCATAGCTGTCCCTAACAAGAGAGGTCCCAAGGACAAGAGATCCAAGATCAATGCTTTCAAAACTCTAATGTACTCGCAAGGGTAGAGTAGATTGACAATAAGCAATTGTGCTTCATTCAACTATCAACTGTAATGAAGAAGAAACACTCGAAGTTTTTTTTTTAATACCAGCGTGGTGATTGGTTATTTTTAGAGGTCTCTTATGGCTTGCATTATGATTTTATTGCAAGATAAGGGGCTGTTTATATTTAACATTTTTAAATTTAGAGTAAAATTTATGTTTTAAAAAGTCCATAGATGATTATTTACCTTTCTATTAAAGACAGTGACTTTAAAGCAAGAGAGTACCTCAGCCATCTAGGACTTAGAGAACTCTTGAGTTTGTCCCAAACATTTATAGACTTTGTTTTACATGACATGTGTCTTCCTGAAATGCTAAGTGAAAATTTCTGTATGAATTAAATAATATTTAAAATGCATCAAAGGACATTGTGACAAAAGATCCTTGAAGTAAGTCTTCTTTATTTTCTAATCTAAAACAACACACGCTAATAATTTATCTTTTGTAAATTGATTTCCATATACCTTATACTGCATGGTCTCAAAGGTTCTGTGACACAGTGTTTGCCTAGACAACATAAAATGAAGGACTAACTCTAGGTTTTAAGTAGGTCTTTGGACCCTATAGAGTGATCATTTTCAGTCAGTTTCACTTACAGAATTTATCTGCATCAAGGCACAAAATAGTATCAAGATAACATGATTAGATAAAGTTGATAGTTATTTTTTTTTTTCTATTTATTGGTTTAAGCATTTACCACCTATTCTATCCTCAAAGTTACAATTACGAGATGAAAATGACCCCAAATCCCTTGGGTCCATATTAGATTTACAGAATGAGAATCTCTAAAGTTAATCTCTGATGCAAACTAGGTTTTGCAAAATATTTTTCAAATGAATTTACTTTTATTAAGTCATTCAATTGTTTGTTATTCTAGTCTAAAAATTTTAATTCTTGTGCTATCCTATGCCTTTGTGAAACTAGTGTCCTAAGCCTAGCTGAACATTTTTCTTGACTAGAGGATTGCACAACAAAGGCCAACTACACCTAAAATGGTTGTTGTTTATTGACACTGTGTCATTTGTAGATTTTGCTCTCCATTAGCTCTTTCAAAAGTAATATATGAAAAGACTTTTAAATTAGTTAGTTTATTCACTTAACTTATTATTTACTCCCATAGATAATAATAAAACACCTGGAGATGGGGAGAGAGGATGTATCGGTCACTGTGCTGCCCTCATCTCATTCTCAAATCATCTTAAGAAACAGGTATAACCACCATTTTAAAGAAGCGGAAAATAAGGATCATGGTAGTTGAATGACTTGCTGAGTCTCCTACAATAGCATTGGGAATTAAAATCCAGCTCATCAGATGCTAAGGATAGGCTCCCACTACTCAATAGCACATTTTCAAATGAGAAAAGACTATGATCGATACAATTAAGATTCACATATTTTAATGGGGGGACAGCAAAAACATTTTCTAAACAGAAAAATTACACTTTGTAAAGATTCCTTCACTATCCCAAGTTAGCAACTTAATGGAAAGAAATATCCATTACTTTCTTGAAGTTTCATACATTGTTTCCAAAAAAGAGTGGACATTTAAAAGAAAAATCCTGTGAAAGATAAATACTCCCAAATATTCATGTTGTATTTTCATTTCCAATTTTCCTAGCTATATTATAAAATTATAACAAAAATATAAGTAGATATCAACAATATGAAGCAAAAACTGTATAGATGAACAGTCAATGAGTAACCAAATGCAAATGACAATGTGAAGAAAAACATCAATAATCTACAGTCACAAAATGTTAACGAGCAATGACATAACTTGAGTTGCAGAATATTTCTTGTGAATGATTTTATGTGAGTATATTTTTTATAGGAGCATTATTACTTATACAAATGATCTGGGATCTGGGAGCACATGACATAAAGGAGGAAAGAAGATACCCTTATAGCAATGTAAACTTGCTTGTCCTATTACTCGACATAATATAGAAAATTTAAATTATAAACATATATAAATATATACAAATATATATAATGTTCCTTGTTAAGGCAGTGTAAATATGCAGGTGGCCAAAAAAAAAATTTTAAGTTTATTTTTTAAACTCAAATCTTCAAATAAATCTTCCTCAATCTCAGCTATTAAGAAATGATTCTTAAATAGTTTGATTCCTTTAATGTCTCTAGGAGATTTTTATTAAATCATCGGGCTAACAGTCTCTTCTTTTTCTCCCTGAATTTACACAAGCCCAAGGTAATATAATTAGTATACTACATTAGAATGTTACTCCATCACACTATCTGAATATGTAGAACACACTTATAAAACACACTTTTCTTTTATAATATTTGTGAGAATCAAGAGCTAGTAAAATAATCTGTAAGTTACATTTGTACTAAAAACTACCACTACTATAACTATGATAAAACTATGCTATAAATTTAAAACAATTAACAAATCCAGCAAAGAAAGAAGTTTT